TTTAAGTTTATTGCCCTTGCTTTATGAGAGATTTTATTTTGCTCAAATTCCATTGGGTTGCATTTGCTATAGATTGTGATTAAGCATTTAACTTTAGTGTCCTCTGCCATGATCCTTTTTTATTTTTTTCCTTTATCAGAGGAAGAAATACCTTAGGTAAATTGTGTGCAACATATCAGCAGGGTTTGAGCTTACTGTGGTGTTAAGGCTGCGCTGTATTTTACATGTTGGAGATAAGAGCTGCGGTAAGTAGAGTAAATAGAAAAAAACTCAATAGTGTTGATAGTTTTATTCATCCTTTGATAGTTTTATACATCCTATCTGGAAGTCTCTGTTGCAGAATTTCACTTTAGCTTCAATAACTCTCTTCATGCATGAAGGGACTCATGAGAGGCTGAGATCGATCAGCAGGATTGGGATAGTGAAAGGGAGCATATAAAACTCTTTTTTTCAGTGTTGGGAGTTGATGCCAGCCAGCAACTAAGGACCTATCCAGTTGCTTGCTAATTCCCTGTGTCTTCTCCCTGCAGCAGGACAGGGGAGAGAATCAGAAAAGCAAAAGCAAGAAAAAACTGATGGATCAAGAAAAAGACAGCTTAATAAGTGAAGGAAAGAGAGAGGAGGAAAAAACCCTGAGTAACACAAAGGCAATCACTTACCACTTCCCACAAGCAGACCAATGCCCAGACGGTCTCTAAACAAGGGCTACTTTGGAAAGACTACCCGCCAGTTTTATTGCCGAACAAGGCATTATACAGCATGGAATATCCCTTTAGTCAGTTGGGGTCAGCTGTCCCAGCTGTGTCCCCTCCCAGCTTCTTGTGCCACCCCCAGCCTACTCGCTGGGGCGGCAGAGTGAGAAATAGAGAAGACCTTGACACTGTTCAGCAACAGCTAAAACATCTGCCACAAATCCAAAACACAGCACTATACAGACTGCTGTGAAGAAAATTAACTCCATTCCATCCAGATCAAGTATGTTCAGTAAGTCAGCAAGTTCTGTCGCTTGTTTTCAACTGTAAGGTACGAGTTAGCTACTTGCATTTGAAGATCATGTAATAAGTCAAGAGATATTTTCAGGGTTTCTGTAAGAGCAGTTTAATATTAATTTAATTTAATTTTGATTATTAATATTGATGAATAATAATGGAAGCTACATTACCAGAAGAATGGCAATGGGCAACTCTGTAGGAAAAGAAGAAAAATAAGGAGCTGTATATGGATGAAAGACTCTGAGAGTCATGTGCTCAGATATGTCTGACTTGGAAGTGGAAACATGGAAGTCTTGTAAGAAGGAGCAGCATTCTCTTGTGTCATCTGAGTAGAGAAGGACAGTGGGCAGGTTTGCAGGCTTATATTAATTTTTCTAGAAGTTCAAGGCAGTGGAGCCCATCAGCAGAAGGAGGTGCCAAAGGGTTTGTGTCCTTTCTGAGGGCAAGGTGAGAACTTGCAGAGGTTTGTGGGTAGAATGTGGGACAAGAGCCAGGCACTAGGAGAAAGCAGAGGCTGAGATTTAGTTTTGAGCTACTGGCAAAAAACATGGGAAAGGGGATGCATTCTAGATGCCAGTCTTTTTTTGTGTGTGTTATGTTCATATTATCTTGGGGGGAATTTATTAATTCTTCCTTCAGTGCAATTTATGTCAGGCAGCCAAGAAAACCATCTCTCAGGGAACCTGTGTGATTAGCAGCTGGTTGACCCTGTATGGGAAAGGATACACACTTTCTAACTATTGAATTGTAAAAGGGTTGAAAAACAAAGGTTGAGGAGAAATCCTTCCAGAAGCAATGGAAGAATTTTGCCTGATGCTAGGGTATTTATTAGAAGATGTGTTTTGAAGGGTGAACAATTTCAGGATGGAGCGGTTACCCATAGTATCTACCTCCAGCTCCTCTACAGCAGTGTTAACAACATTCACAGCTGCTATAGGCTACTTCTTAGCTCATTCAAAACCCCATAAAAGTTGCAGCGCTGAACAGTAACTAAGAGCCTCTGAGGTAGTCTCTTTTTTGGTTTGCTCTGTAACTGCAACAAGACTTGGAATTCTTCTCAGTTTCAGTTTGCATTCTTCACTGCAGAGTTTAGATGGCATCACTTTCTTGGACTCCAAGAAAAGGGAGTCTCCCAGTCTGCATAAGTGACATACATTACACTGTATTTTTTGGTAGAAAGGCCTATAGGATAACAAGAAATGGTGGTTGATGACTCAAGCCTGGCATGGTTTAAGAGGCATTTGGACAATGCCCTTAATAACATTCTTTAACTTTTGGTCAGTACTGAAGTGGTCAAACAGTTGGGCTAGGTGATGGTTGTAGGTCCCTGCCAACTGAAATATTCTATTCTATTCTATTCTAAATAACTTGGATCTGTAGCCGGTTCTAATAATCATTCTACTTGCATTAAAGAAATAAATAGCTAAATAGGAATTATTACTGAATTCAGTACGGACTGTCAGTTGTGGTGACCATACTTTATTGACACAAACACGAATTGACTTTTGCTAATTGGAAATTTTATTGAAGTTCTTCTTACTATTCTGTTGTAATGAAGAATGCAGAACTTGAGAGGCTCTCCTTGGCTCTCAAGTATAGGCAGCTGCAGATTTTATTAGCATTCAGAAAGCTCTGTCTCTTATATAAACACTGTTGTTCCCATCACGACACAGTGTGTTGAAAACCTTGCCATCCTATCTATTGTGAGTGTCGTGCTGGTCTGTGGAAGAGGATGTGTTAATCAGTTCTACGAATGGTTTTGGATATCCTGTGAAGCAGAGCAAGGGATCTCTTGCAAAACTTACTCTCTGCTTTTTAATTCCTTTGGAGCTTCTACATATGCCAGGATTTCTTTGTTTATTTAAAACAAGTCCAACTGTTACTGTTTGCAGGATTTATAAGTCTTACAGTGGATGTAAAATTTCTTATCCTTGTTTAATTTGATATCATTAAAAAATAATATTTTTGTTCACCTAAAAGAAGATAATAACAGTCAAAACTGAATATTTGATGCATTGTTAATTGAAATAAGTTACTTTTTTTTTTAAGCATATATTCTTTCTACTGGACAACATTTACCTATCATTTACAGTCCATAACAGAAGACTGTTAACTGATCCCCTTGGAGATGCAAATAATTCTATGGGGATAAACTAGATACTGCTTTTTAATTCCTTTGTTTTGTTAGGAACAGATGGACTTTACTTCTTCAGGTCATCATCCAAACAAAAAAAGAAAGGTAGCAAATCAGACAGTACTGTTTTACTGACTGTTTTGTTGGGGTGTGCACGTGTGTGTGTGTCTATTGTGGTTAAAAAGAAAATAAATCAAAAAAATACTTTGAGTAACATGCTGCAAAAGCAGAAATAGTAGTTACAGCTGGAATCAATGCAGATCCTCTGCCCTGGGATTTCAGAATAATGGATAATGAAAGTAAGACATCTATTTTGAAATATTCATGCACCTAGTTAAAAATTCTGATAATCCCTGATGTTCTTGAATTTGGGTGATTGCACTGCACACTTCTCTTGCTAAAGCAAGCTGAGTAGCTGCTGTGCAGGAGCAGGATGGCTCTGTTGCATGAGCGGTGTTTGTCATCTGGGCCCAGGGCTTCAAGCCAGTGAGGGATTTCAGAAACTGTATTGTCTTTCATGAAAGTCACTGAGAACTGGAGAGATAATAGTGATGTTATAAAAGGTGACCAATACTTCTACAAGTGACATCTGAAAATGAGGGCACTACTATCTTTGTCAGCACCTGAAATTCCTGCATGAAGGAACGTTGATCACAGAAGAGACTTTTACAGTGTCATTTTTATGGTGTTGTCACTGCAGATCTCTGTATGTCACAGATCATGTGCTTGGTAGTAGTTAGCATTTTGTTATTTAGCAAAAATAACTCAACTTTCCTGTCAACAGAATCACACACTTTTATTTTACCTCCAAGTAAGATGAAATTGATATATTTTGTATGTACATGAGGTACTTTCCTTCCAAACAAAATCAAACTGCCTATTTTACCTGAAAATCAGAAATCAAGTTATTTAATGAAGTGGAGAGTAAAGAATTGCCTACTGGCAGAGTTTCCTTGGACCTCTCTCAACCATGTCATTTAGTGACTTTCTTCCTTAGACAAAGCTCCTGGAGTTCCAGATCAGGCACTTAAGTGGTTACAGTGGAAAAAGTTAAAAACCTTCCAGATGTTGCATTCAAATTTTTTCAAATAAAGTTGGAAAGTTTCCTTCAGTATTCATCGACTTTAGATTTTTTGGCGTGCGGGTGTGTGTTGTGTCTTCATCTTGCTTTTTCTTTTCCCTTCTCTCCTGGTTTAACATTAATTTATTGTATAGAGTAGAAGGGAAATGATGTTTCTGATTTTGCAGCATTGTGTTTTGTTAGCTGAAAAATACTTCCATTTAGAGATATTTGGTGTGTATTTCTCTCTCTGTTTTGTTGTTTTTTTGTTTTTTTTTTAAACTGCTTTCCATACGTATTTCTACACTAGTAATTCATCAGATTGAATACTTTAGAAAGAAAGAATCAGTCAGGTCTGTTTTGTGTGTGGCTTTGTTGTTTTGCAGATTTAACATGAGAATTATATGTATATCAGAAAATACTTTTGCTTTCAAGTGCACTCATACAAATACAGTAAGCCTGATGCTACTTATCATACTACCGAAGTGGCAAGCCAGTGATTTTAATAATCAGGCTTCCCAAAGAAGCGTTTTCAGTCAGAACCCAGCTCCCCTCCAGTGTCCTGACTCTGTGATGAGATAACTGACTTTTGTTTCCACCCGCTGGCTCTCTGTTAACATCGTTGACGTAAGTAAGGTCCTTGTGCTGGACTATGTGGGGGTGAAGGTTTTTTCTGTCGAAATGCAGAAATTAACAGCGGCTCATCTTCTGTTTTCATATATACAACTAGTGTTAAGTATCTCTGAGAAGTATTCAAAACAGCAGGATAAGAAGTTGAATGAATAATTATTCTTTCTTTTCCTTCCATCTCTAGAACAAAGAAAGAATTATGCACGAGACAGTGCCAGCAGCATATCTGAAACGTCGCAGTATCATGTAGAGGTGAGACAACGAGTGATATACCAATTATAGCTTTCAGTTGCATGCAGTTATTTTTGCCTACATGATTTTTGAGGATACATATGCTTGAAGGCATATACAGCTTCCAAAATATCCTGTCAGCCCAAGATCACTTCAGAATAGATTACACTGAAATGTCTCAAATTCTATAGCTTTGCCATAATGAGCTGAAATTTTGATGTAGAAGAACGTAAGTAAAGTTGTGTGTAGTTTGGCAGACGGACAGGACTTCTCAATGGGATATCAGTTCAATGTGTTATGCTGCCCTGTCTCTGAACCTGGCTTGTGGCAAGGATGAGGTAGAGCTGGAAAACCCTGTGCTGTTGACGAGGCACACTGGATGATATTTAAAACGAATACTTTGATCAGTTATAATCAGCAGAAGTGACAGAATATTCAGAAAGAGCTGAGCATTAACCCCTAAAAGCCCCGTTAGTCTACTGTGTAGTAGTTAAACATATTCTGCCTGCACAGATTCTTCCCCAGTGTGAAGTGCAAAGTATGTTACTTCCTGTCTTGAGCTGCTTTGCAGAATTACTGCATGCTGCTGTCCTATTTTATACAGGAGTAGATGTATTTAAAATATTCAGCAAAGTAAACCTGGGTGCCCATATGTAGCCTGTTAAGCACTTTTGGATGCACTGCCTCATTCTGTAGTCTTACTTTGGCACAAACTTTCTCTCACTGCCATCAGACCACTATCACGGGTTAAGCCAAGTCTTGAAAATACCATAGATTTTCAGCTCCTTTTTGCTGGGTTTTAAATTAGCTGTAAATTGTGAGATCATATGCAGAGGAGTCTTAATTTCAAGTGCTTCTGTCCTGTGATCAGCTTGCAAATAAATACTTGTGTTGCTACTAATTGTCTGTTTATTTTTCTTTGGTTTCTTTGTAACAGTTTTGGTACTGTACTGGCATAAAAATTAGTACTTCTATTTGGAGTCTAAGTATTCCTGTGTGAGCAGCCAGTAGAGAATTTGTTTCACTTTATTTCTTTTAAATAATTATATGCAGCTTGTATCTACTTTCTTGTCTGTCATTACTAAGTGCTGTTTTCATGTAAGAGAAAAAAATCACACTTAATTTTTCTTATTTTTCTTTTATCTTTTTTTTTAAAGTTATTTAGAAAATAGATGGACAGGCATAGATTAAAGTTGGTTCAGCTTGAATGAGTGTAACCAGGTCTTCAATAAGATTGTGAAGCTGGATTTATGCCTGGATAAAATGACATAATTTTATGGGTTTTCTTGCATGGTTGGCCTGTTGAAGGAGAAATTGTCAGAACTATAGTGACAGGGAAGCTGTTTGAGGGGATGTCTGCGAGGTAGTATTTAATTTCTAGACCATTCATTGAATCTGGAGGATATTCCAAATTGATGGTGAGAAAAAGTAGTTAGTATACTACATTTCTACTGTGATCTGCATAAAAGAAGTGACTAGCCTGTCCATAAGGTATCCCAGTCAGATGCAAGCCCATCACAACTCTGGAAGGGGTAAGGACACTCCAGGTCAGGGTGGTGGTGCAGGTACATTGGCAGGGGTGTTTCTGGGAAGCTTCTGCGGATGCTTCCTGGATTCAGCTTGCCAAGAGAGACAGGTTTTCATTCCTCAAGAAAGCTAATTAAATACTCAGGGTTTAATTCTACCTTTGATACCTGAACAATGTCAGAATATGCCTTGAAGTCTAATCATTTACTGTAGTGAGGAAATGACAGTGGATGACAAACAGTGAGTTACAAAAATCAGTTGACTTAAAATGACATTATGGACAAAACAACCTGTCTTATGGCTTATTGGTGAGATCTGTCATGTACAAAGGCACATTTATTCATGAATAATTTGTATTGCTATTTTCTGGCAATTTGAATACTGACACTGCTGAGCAATAGGGAAAATTACAATTTTTTTTTTTTTTCAATGAACATCCCATTCACTAGCACTTGACCACCTTTGTTCTGGACCGAAAAGAGGCAATGATTACAGTAGATGATGGAATAAGGAAGCTGAAATTGCTGGATGCCAAAGGCAAAGTGTGGACTCAAGATATGATTCTTCAAGTGGATGACAAAGCTGTCAGTTTGGTGGACTTGGAATCAAAGGTAAGATCTGTGAGTGGCAGTCTCATTTTCAGAGAGAGAGAGAGAGAAAAAGGGAATGGGCAGAAAAATGATGTATGTGAGATTTGGTATTTTAATTAGCTTATTATCACTTTCCTTTTTTAACTCATGCAGCTTTTCTGAGATCAGGACACTGTACAGTAAAGTGGTGGTTTGTGTTTAATTTTGTTTTGTTTTTTTTCTCTTCCGGCAGAACGAACTGGAGAATTTTCCTTTAAGCACAATTCAGCATTGCCAAGCTGTGATGAATGCATGCAATTACAATTCAATTCTTGCATTAATATGTAAAGAACCAACCCAAAACAAGCCCGACTTGCATCTTTTCCAATGTGATGAAATTAAGGTAAGAGAGTAATGGAAGTCTGTTATGACTTATTTGAATAGGGGAAACTTTATGAATGGGCAAGTACAGTGGATAAAATCAAATTACCTGATTCATAGAAAATAATTCTCTTCTTTTATTCTTACAAATATGCTTTAAGTTTAATGCACTTATGATATAGACACTACTTAGAGTATGTTAGTAAATGTAGTGTATGTCTTGCAAGACAGTAGTCCAGTATGTAAGCTGAATCCTTAGTGCATGTTCAAATATGTCATTACTGTAAATATTGATTGTTGGGCTCTGTAGCTGTTCATTTAGATTTGCAAATGAGTAAAGCTCTGGAATATGTGTATGATTTGCATTCATGCTTCTGAAGAAAATTGTGTAAAATACTTTGAGTTATCTCAAAATTATCTTATAATGTACAAAGAACTCAACCGAAACTCTGAGTCTTACCTAGTCTTTCCCCTTTTTTAATGTATTCTGCAATACTTTTTTATTTCCAAGGTTATAAATTTTAATTTCTGTCAGTTACTTTACATAATTGGTATTTCTTTAAATTCCAATTGATAATTTCATGGGGATTTTTTAATTCCTTTGTAGTAGTTCATATAGTTGTCTTAAAACAACAGATTGCAATTTGAAGTTGGTATAGTGAGAGTAGTGTGAAGATGACTGGCTAATTGTGTGATTTGTTGCAAAGAATTTGCTGTTTCAGTGGAAACTGGGATCCTGTGAGAAGTTCAGGTGGCATTGTTAAATAATGCAGGGATCCTTTTTGAGGTCTGGTTGGACCCAGCTTCCCAAAGTGTAGAGGCGGTCTCTTTTCTTCAGTCTTTCATCTTTTGAAGTTGTTCTTCTGTGTACAAATAAAAATGCAGAGCACATAAGCATGACTTGGAAGTTCAGGATCCCCTTTTTCTTCTGAGGTATTGTTTGACTCTGTGACCATACTCTAGGTTTTGTTCCTTACCCATGAGACTGGGCTGGTTTTGAAAGGTTAGGTCTTTCTCCCTTGTCTTTTTCCTGCTTTTGATTAAATTTACCATGAACCTCAGGAGCCTCTGCAATAAAAAATCAGTCAAAATCAGTAATATTTGGGGCATTCAATATTTTCTAAACAAAAAATTGTTGAATAGTAAATATCAAGAGTATGATTAATGGAATTTTTCTGAGTTTAAGTTTCTCAAATCCTCTTAAGTTTTTTCTGTTAATACTTTAACCTTAATGTATCCCTCATCCATATTCTGTAGTGCAGTTCATTATAGCCTGAGAAGTCCCTTAATCCCCTTGGATCCTAAATTCAACAAAGTCTTCTGGTCCCTGCACAACCTACATATTCCTCACCAAAAGTTACATACTTCTCCGTTATGAGGATACTAAGAAAGACGTGGACCTTCTAGAGTGAGCTGACAGATTTGGGTTTTGACAACCTGTGTAGGAAATTAATTTGTCAGCTGAAGACCTGTAACAGAGCATTCTAAATCCTACGAGAAACTGTGACCTATTTAACGCAAGATCTATTAAAATAATGCCTTAGACGTGCATCAAAATTTCACTTGTGGGCCCCTGGTCGAGGCAGACTGCAGTTATAGAGAGGCAGGAGCCTACAGATTAGGAAATGTTCTGAAAAATTCATCTTCTGTTACATCAAAGACAAATTGGAGGCTATCATTATTTCTTAAAGGAAACTGTATCCCTACAAGTTACATTCCTAATCCTTTGTACTGCTACCATCTGTAGTAGTTTTGCTGCTACTATCTATAGTAGATTTTTTTAATGGTACGTCTTTCCCCTAACATCCTTGAGAAAAACAAAAATGATGTACACAGAGGGGAAAAAATAGCTTATGCAATAATGGTTGACTTGAGATAATTACAGCTGTTCAGAAAATTTTGGTAACTAGATGACATACTCATCTGATAATAATGCTTGAGATGGGAACATTGACAAAAATACCAACTCCCAGACAATAGCATTATGTGTTTCTTTGTTCTGTTTGTGTGTAAAATAATTTATCACAGAACTTTTAAATAAATGGGATTTGGTAAGGAGTTCTGGAATCTAAAGATGCCCTAAAAAAAGTTCATGATGAGATATATTTATTTTGTATATCTGGATAGTCTAGCTGATAACTGATGGTTTCTTCTTCTGTCTCTTTAGGCTAGCTTTATTCATGAAGATATTGAAAGTGCAATCAGTGACAGCAAAAGTGGGAAACAAAAGAAGAGGCTGGAAACACTGAGGTAAAAAACTAACTTCTTGGCAGCATATAAGATCATCAAATAATGCTACAATATTCAAAAGCTCTCCAAATCTGCCTGCTGTTTTTTGATCTCTTTTGCTAGTTGATAATATACTTCCAAAACCATGTGTAGAGGCCTTGCTTTAATAATTATCTCATGCTCTCTCAATTTATAGCATCACTCTTAGCTTTCCCAATTACACCTTAGTGGCAGGGGGGGGACAGCTGACATCAACACCACTTGCCAGAGAATAGCATTGCATGTCTCAGTTCTGCATATGGGTCAAGTAGTTCCAAATTTAAATTAAAAAAATAAATGCCCCGTAACTCCAAGTAAATAAGATTACAATAAAAGGTTTTGGGATCTAAAGATGTTAAATAAAACAGCAATTGAAGACTGAATAATCTTCCTGCCTGCCTGTTTAACGATGTTGAAGACTCCTTGTTTCCCTGGTAGCAAAAGCTTCTCTACCAGTAGGAAAATGTGGGGGAAAAGAGTTCTCTTGGGTTCAGGGATTATAAAGACATGAATTTAAGGTGAAAATCTAGCTTTTAAACAGTGGTGTGGGGAAGGGATGGGTTATGCATATGACAGGAGTTGGGTGTTTTTTGTCTGTTGGTATTAAGTTGCAGAATGACTTCCAAAACCTCTTTCTTTATGGTATTTAAAACTACACTAAGAACTGGAAAATTGGAAAATTGCAGATAGGAACATTGATACATTTGTATCAAGACAGGCCACTGCTGTAAAAAGGAAAATCAGCCAGGAAATCTAGTAGCCTTTGTTGGTAGGGTTTTAAGAAACAGGTGATTGGCAACCTGTCACATTTAGGGACTAGATACTCAACTTGTGATGGCTGAAAGGTAACTTCTAATGAAAACTTTCACATAAAATGGAAATCCAGCCAGTAAACTGCATGTGGTGGTAAAAATGCCACCTACTAAACCCAAGCCACTGAATTTACCTGTGTAAACTGGCAGGTCTCTAAACATCATGTTCTGTGGCACTGCTTGGGAATTTCCCGTGTGGCCAGGTGACGAGGATTTGCTAACCCCATCATGGAGCAAGTTTCCTACTGTGTTTAACATATTTACACATCATGGTCTTGAGTACTGCTCACTTAACGAGTCCATAGTATGTTCAACAGTAGAAGAGGTCCTTGTGAAGCCTCCTTGTCTTCTCTGATTAAACACTAGAAAATAGAATGTTTTTCCTTCAAGTGTCGCTTGTGGGCTTTTCTTCCGTTCGTCTAGGATGATATCCAAAGCTGAAAGCACCATCCCACCGCCGCCGCAGGCGCCCGCCCCGGTGCCACCAGGGACCATCACCCAAGTGGACGTGAGAAGCCGTGTGGCGGCGTGGTCTGCGTGGGCCGCTGAGCAGGGGGAGTGTGAGTATTTCTGGGAGCCCGCTGCCGCATGGCACAGTGGCAAACAGTTGTTCTGGGCAGTAGATTTTTATGATGCTCGGTAAGAACAAAAATAATTTGGAAAGAGAACTTTCGTAAAGATTACAGTAATTGAATCCATATACAGAAATGGTTGTACACGGTCACCCCTCTGTCCTCACTGAGAGCAGACAGGATTATTCTTCCAGTCTAGTTTGAAATGCCCCAAGCCACCATTGCCTGATCTGGGGAATAAGACCTGACTGTCATAATCTAACTTGTCATTTACTTGCACTTATCCACTTTCTGAATTTCTGTTCAGAGCTGCTTTTACTTGTTTTTATCTGGGTAGGGGTATGGGCTACTGATTTTAACCTGGGCTTTTTTGTGAGCGTAGTAACATTCACAGTAACCAGTACTGTCATAACTCTAGTAATTTAACGATGCCCTCTTCAGTAATAGGGAGAGCGTAGGCCAGGTATTTCAGACAATTAAAAAATATAATCATGGATTAAAAGGTGACTAGAGATCAGCATTATTTATTTAGCCTGTATGGCTAAACTAGTTGTTTTTTTTTTTAAAACCTTAACCAAGGAATTCAGTAGCATTTCTGAGAGGTTTGGATTTTTTTTATTTGGTGGGATTTTTTTTAAATCTCTAATGGAAACATTTTTATTTTGATCAGATTTCTTTGAAAAAATGCTCTTTAGAAACAATAAAGCTCCTTCTGTAAAACAGACTCTATTAAGGTTAAGGTGAGGCCTCTTTTTGTTGGTTTGTTTTTTAATAATAGATACTAAATTTTAGAATTAATAGTCATTAACCATGGAGTCTTTATTTTTGGTTTATTAAGTTATGTTTATATCACTTAACAAAGTACACAACTATGCAAAGAAAACAACGAAAAATGTTCAGAGAATTCTGTAATGTTAAGAATGTTTTCATCTACTAATCTACAGTATTACATTTATCTTGAGTAAAAGCTAGCTTGTTCTTCTGCTTGGCTTCTCCTCACTTCAGAGAAGTTTCATTAGTTTGTCAAGTGTCTTGCTAGACCACTTGTGGATCTGAGTTCCTGCAGTTCCTTTTATTCCACTCATGTGGATCTTTTCTAAAACATATTTATTAAAATCCCACCTGTTAACAAATGCAATGCAGTACTTAGTGTGACTTAAAAATGCAAAACTTATCATTTCTCAAAATGTTAACCTGTGTTCTTTTCAAATAAAAGTCACTGACTCTGTCCATTGTTATTTGGAAATACAAGTTCTATCACATCATTACCTCCCATTTTTATGTTGCCAGACTTGGCATCCTGTGTTGCTAATTACCTTTTACATCAAAATTGTCTTCGAATTCATTGCTACACTGTTGCTTACTTCTGATGGAGTAGCTTTCAGCATACTTTACAAAATGAGGTGATTTCTTGTTCCATTCTGTTTATAATCTGCCACTTTCTGCTGTAATTTTTTGATTTAGACCCTGGTACCATACTTCTGTGGTTAACTTCATTTATGCAACTAAGTTGACTGAGAGCATACACCTAAGCTTTTTTGTGAGACTTGGCAGGATCAGGCATTAGGGTGCAAGATTTTCAGGTTGTGTGGAGTCCTTGCAAAGTAAATGTTACAAACAGTTTTGCCCCATCTTTTTCTTACAGGAGTATGGTTTAAAGCATAAGCTGTATAGGAAGTGTTGGTTACTAATTTCGTATATATGGATGTCTTATTCGCTTCTTCCCTTTTCTGCAGTTGAAAAACATAGACAGTACCATGATCATGAAGAAACAGCAGAGATGATAGCAGCCAGGATTGACAGAGATGTTGTAAGTGAGAAACTACAAACGATATTGCTTAATGTCTGTGAAATTTTTGAGCCCTATTCATGGGAAGACTTTTTCCACATGGGAATTTCAGTGCTGCAGGAAAGTTTTCCAGGCAGCCTATGTTTGTGTGTTAGACCTAAAAATGAATAGTAGGGGTTTTTTGAAAAAAGGAAAAAAAGACTGAATGTTGATGTAAAATTTTCTGCTGTGAAAAGCTAGAAATATGACAGTGATTTTACGCAGTAGACCAAGTTGATCAAACTAGAAGGATAAAAAATTTCATCAGTTTAGTGGGACTTATATATGCGCAATATCTGGAAAATAAACATATGGTCATTTCTGAAGACAAGTGGACCATGTATATGTATAACCTAAACTTTTCTTGCCTATGAGCAACAACATTGGCAAGTCCTATGATGTATGCAATATCAAATATTGCCCCATTTCTCAGTTGTAACTTTCTATTTTTCTATTATGCTGTTGCCCTCAGCAACATCAGAGGGTCTTGAGGAAAGCATGTTGGGACCTGCTGAATTAGTCTATATGTGTTTTCCCCAGGGGCTCATTCATTCTCCTCCACTTGCTTTTTGAAAACAGTCCTTCAAAGAGCACTTGATAAAACTACATTCTGACATTCAACAAATAGCTTAATACTTTGTACTAAAGGAGGTTATGAAGTTATACTGTTTAGGAAAATGCTGTCCATTCAAATAATTAGAATTTTTTTATATGCTGTGAGAGAAAATGTAATGTGTGAACAAATTGTGTAATTGCAATCTGAATTTAATAATCTTTTTGCTTATATTTTAAAACTTCCAGTGGCCCTAAGTTTTTAAAACTCTAAGATTTAAAATACTTTACAAGTGTGTAAAGTTAAGAACATAATGGATCAAAATATGGAATGTTCTAGCGTGAACTTTGTTACGAGGAAGCTGTTGGTGTCTGAGACTGTGGTCATTTTGATTTCTGGAGTATTTCTGCTATAGAGTCTGTAGAGAAACTGTTACTTTACTTTTCTTTCATAGCAAATTCTGAACCATATTTTGGATGACATTGAGTATTTTGTTACCAAACTTCAAAAAGCTGCTGAAGCTTTTGCGGAACTTTCAAAGAGGAAGAAAACTAAGAAGAGTAAAAAGAAAGGACCTGGAGGTAGGAGTTCTTACTGCACAGAATTCTGTTTCTCTAATGAGCAGTGAAGTAGCTAGCAAATGTGTCTTTTGTGTTTGGTTTTTTTTTTTTCATGAATGTAGTGATTTTCTTTCACTATGAGCACAAAAATTCCTAAAAATTCCTACACGATATATTTTTAAAGGGAAACCTATAAAAATCATTTTCTTGAAGTTAGTGGGGAGTGACTAATTAGAGATGTGGCTGCAGAATATGCCCACTGTCATGGTTCTATAAATTTATTATGTATTTTTGTGTTTACTGTATCTGTATTATTTATGGAAGTTATATACTACATGAATGGATATATAAAAATCTCATTTTCTTCACCAGAGGGAGTTCTTACACTCCGTGCAAAACCACCACCCCCAGATGAATTTGTTGACTGCTTCCAAAAATTCAAACATGGCTTCAATCTTCTGGTAAGTGACTGCTGGTGGATATCATGGTGTGAGGCATGCAATAACAGTTTTTTCCTGGGAGAACTGGTGTTAAGTATAACACGATCTTTGTTTTCCCTACCACTACAAATTAATTTGACACCATTTCCCACAGCATTCTTCTGGAGAAACTGACTGCTTATGGCTTGGATGGATGTACCCTTCACTGGCTAAAAAAACTTGGCTGGATGGCCAGGCCCAAAGAGTGGTGGTGAACGCAATTAAATCCACTTGGCAGCCGGTCACAAGTGGTGTTCCCCAGGGCTCAGTACTGGGGCCAGTTCTGTTTAATGTCTTTATTAATGATCTGGACAAGGGAATCCAGTGCACCCTTAGTCAGTTTGCAGAAGACACCAAGTTGGGTGGGAGTGTTGGTCTGCTTGAGGGTAGGAAGGCTCTACAGAGGGAAGTGATTGTCCCCCTGTACTTGGCACTGGTGAGGCCACACCTCGGATACGGTGTTCAGTTCTGGGCCCCTCACCACAAGAAAGACCTTGAGGGGCTTGAGCGAGTCCAGAGAAGGGCAATGAAACTGGTGAAGGACCTGGAGCACAAGTCTGATGGGGAGCGGCTGAGGGAGCTGGGGGTGTTTAGTCTGGAGAAAAGGAGGCTGAGGGGAGACCTTATCACTCTACAACTACCTGAAAGGAGGTTGTAGCGAGATGGGTGTTGGCCTCTTCTCCCGAGTAACCAGTGATAGGACAAGAGGAAATGACCTCAAGTTGCACCAGGGGAGGTTTAGATTGGAGAGTAGGAAGAATTTCTTCACCAAAAGGATTGTTAGGTGCTGGAACAGGGTGCCTAGGGAAGTGGTAGAGTCACCATCACTGGAGGTATTTAAAAGACGCGTAGATGTGGTGCTTATGGCCATGGTTTAGTGGTGGACTTTGGCAGTGTAGATTTACACTTGGACTCAATGATCTTAAAGGTCCTTTCCAACCTAAACATTTCTAAGATTCTATGAATTTGGGTGTCAGCTTTGCTGCATTAATTTTCCTATGTCTTATTCCACTACTATGAATTGAAGAACTAAAATTATGGTGAAAGATGAAGAGGAGAAGGAAGAATCAGGAACATGATGGATTTGCTTTGTAGTTATTTTTAAGTTGGACTTTCTTGCATGTTCCTGCTATTCCAGAGAGTGTGGATGCTTTATTGTTGACGCCGCTGAGGGAGCTGCAGAAGGTCATCTTGTCTTTGGGAATGCATTAATCAAGTTTTCTGCCTTCTGCCTAACTTTTCTGGTACCTTGTCCACATAGAGAAACCTTGTGGGTCTTAAATGCCCTACTGCTGCCAGCCATGCAGAAATGGTCATGCCATCCAGGGAATTGTGAGCCTGAGTTTGTGTTGTCTTGGTCTCCACTGCTCTTTCAGAAGGAGCAAGTTCACAAGTATCCTCTTCAAGAATGCTGATATACCTGGAAATGTAATCTTCTTTGGTCCTTGGCTGACACACAGGAAAATAACTCAGCTGATACTTGACTGATCTTGGACTTTCAGCTTTGCATTCTACATCCAAGGTTGAACTGAGGCAAGAGCAAGGCTGGCTACCTCTGGCCTAGGTTGGCCTTTGAGCTTTGGGATGCTGCTCCTCAAGTTCTCTGCACAGTGACTAGATGAGTGTATTCTTTTTCAGCATTGTTGTGTTTCTTCTTTTCCTGGTTTCATAAAAAAAATTTCTAGGAACGTCTGTGGGGATCATGGCTCTGTTGCATGCTTGCCAACATCACCAGCTGTGGCCTTAATTTAGTTTTATTCAGCTATGCCCATCAGACTCTCTGTGCTTATTGCTATCATTACATAGGACCTTTCTGGCCTCAGAACACTCCATCCGAAAAATTGCTACTGCTTTATAGGTTTTCAACAAGCAATTCAAGGCTGATTCAAGAGCTTTTTCCTGGCATCTCCTCTTTTGCAAGTGCTACTAAAGGAAGGCAGCAAGTGGGACACCTTCAAAGCATTTACTTTCAGATACTGACTGTCCCTTCCAATTGCTGGGGAAGCTATGCCAACAGAGAAAATTGTTCTTGCATTCATTGAGTCATTATCTCTTTTATTCCTTTTGGGGAATGAATTCTGGTTGCAGGGCTGTAGGAGATATTTAGAAATGTTAAAAATATATATATTTTTAAAGCCCTATATCAAATACTGTGATTCTGACCTTAAAGTATTGTTGTTTTGGGGGAGACATATGTCTTAGAACATGCTGATCCTTCTCAGTAATAGTGCTTGTAATGTTCAATTTTCTGTTCTTACTTCTTACCAAGTTCTGCATTTAAACTAGTTTTTCACCCAAGAACAATGTGTGCATCTTTGAATCTTTATCTTCTGTGCAGGAGAAGAAGTAGTTCTTGTTTTGGTGCTCAGCAGCATCTAACACCTGGTTTCAAATGTTGCTCTTGAAGAGCTGTGCAGTAACAGTGGTTTACTTCAGCATCATTGCAGGAGCCACAAAAGCCTGAAATTTCAATTCCTGGTATTTTGTCAAACATGGAGAACTACATAAAATGAAGAGTCTAGTTTAAAAATAAAAGGAGTAACTAGAAGAATAAAATCTTTACCAGTAGAATGGAAACTGTTTTAAAACACTGTGCTGGAAGCTTCTAGAAAATGCCTACCATGTGTCAAAAAAACTTTAGAAAGACCAAAAGAAAGTTGTTATGACTAGAGAACAATGTATAGCAAGTTATTAGCAGTAAAAACACATCCTCCTCCTTTCTTCATTGTCAGGCGGACTCTGGAAGGCTAGATGTAAAAGTAGAATTAGGCTAGCCAAAAGCAGTTCGAGGAACAGATGGCAGGATGCAATAAAAGCTACTATAACTTTTTAAAACACATTCTGGAATGCTTCTTACTTCTGGAGCCTGCAGGGCCAACAGGCAATCAGTAAATAAAAGAAATCCTTCAAGAAGCTGTATCAGAGAAAGTATGCAATTTTTTTTTTTTTTTGTGCATATATTTACTTGGAAAAGCTTGATAGTGGACAATATGTTCATGAAAACCGTTTTTATGGGGAGCACAAGAGATTATCTGTTTCAAATTGAAGAACTGGTAATGGGTTAAAGAACAGCAAATCAAAATGGCAAGTTTCAGGCAAGTGAATAGAAACCCTGTTTGAATGGGTACCGCTCATCCATCTAGTCCAAAAACTAACTTGGCAAACCACTCAGTATGGTGTGTAACCTCTCTCAAACTGCCTTTCTTCCAGAGGAAGAGAAGTGGTTAAGGTAATGTTGACAATCTTTAAAGTCATTCCAAGGATCTGAGACAACCAGGTACCCTTGAGGTACCCACACACAAGATGCAGTTTGTAGGCAGGTATATTAAATTGAGGGAGAAGCAAACGTGCATTTCGCAAAACAAAATAATGTCTACAAATCCATCAGTTCTTTGATTTTTGTTTCTTTGGATTTCCAAAAACACATCCAGCAAGGTTGCACACCCTGAAGTTCTTAAAGAAACTGAGCTACTATGAGGTTAAATGTAGCTTCTTAGATTCTTATTTACTGAAACAGAAAACAAATTACAGGACTAAAAGGCCAGTTCTCAAAGTGCAGTAAATTCAGCACTGAAGTCCCACACATGCCTCTGCAGAGGCCTTTGCTGTCCAACATATTTACAGGCGTTCTGGCAAATGTGGATCGTAAAGTCTACAAATGTAGAAATATCTCATGATAGCCGATAAAGTGGCAGATGAAATTCAATAATGATAGATAAGAGAGTCATGGACAGGTAGGGAAAAATCTCATGTATAAAACAAATCAGAACAAAATGTTGATGTAATACAGATTCCTGTGGGAACTTCATCAGTGTTCAGTGGTGATCAACCAAGCAAATGTTAAGAACCATAAGGAAAAAAAGAAAATTAACAAATGAAGGGCATCAATATGCCATTATGTTCCCTGGCCTTATTTTGTTCCCAGTGTAGCAAAATTTAAGAAGGTACAAGGAGGACAAAAATGCTCAAAAGAATAGTAATAGTAGCTTGGAAAAGACCAGAGGAAGAATGTAATGAATCTGTAAATGGTTATGAGCATCACTGGAAAAAGCGAGTAGAAAAGAATTGCTCAGTTTTCATTTAGAGAAGAAATCCAGAATACTAATGAAACTAAGAGGTGGCAAATTTCCAAAGAAGATGCTGCTCTACAAAGCATATAATTCAGTTGCGGAACTTCTTGTTTTGCACAATAGGTGCTAAAGATACACATGGATTCAAAAGTAATTGGATGAATGAACACTTGCACTTAGTGGGTGTTGCAGCCAAAGCACTGGGCTTAGGCAGACCTGTGGCCTGACCAGAGATGGCCATTCTTATTGAAGTATTTATTGTCATAAAAATCAAATGTTTCTTAGAATGTGTCATTTTCCCATTCCTTCAGGCCAAATTAAAGTTCCATATCCAGAATCCTAGTGCAGCTGAACTGGTTCATTTTCTCTTTACTCCACTACATATGGTAAGGTTTATAATTTTCTCAGTGTTTTCTTCAGAACTCTTGTATTTATATACTCTGTAACCTTTTCAAGGATAACAAGATTGAAATGTTGTGTCCCTGGACAATAACTAAGGAGAAATGTGTGTATCTCAGGATAAGGTTCTCTTTAGAAAATAATTTATATCCTTTTCTGCATATATTCTCATCTATTAAAGATATTTATTTAAATGATCTTTAGCTTTGTGTGTTACAGTTTGCCAGTATAATTTTTAAATAACAATTAAAGACTTGTATACTTTGCGTAACGCAGGAGGAGAGTAGAAGGCATAGCCACATGTCTATTTAATGGAAGTATGTGTGGTTTTGATCAGTAGAGCAAAAATAACATTGCCAAAAGTGGGTCTAAATATAAAATGGTTGGTGACCAGAACAGCAGTTCTTCTGCAATAAATGGTTTCATTAATCTGTAAGATGTTAAGACATGTTGTTAGCTTCCCAGAGTTTTTGGGGTGGGGGTGGTGCAGGGTGGGTGTGGTTTTGTGAGTAATAAATGTTTCTTAGCAGCACTCTAGGTAACTTTATATTCACAGCAACTTCCTTACTGACAATGAGTATGTTATTTGTATTATTTTAATTCTTGGATTTAGGTGGTACAGACAACAGGAGGTCCAGAGCTTGCTGGTACAGTACTCAGCCCCCTCCTAACAAAGGATACTATAGACTTTCTGCGATATACTGTCACCAGTGAGGAAGGACAGTTGTGGATGTCATTGGGTGACACATGGACCAAAGCCAGGTGAGAAAACACCTTTGCATATTTTAGAGATGAGCTGTAAACTGGAGTTTATTGACACAATCTTAACCAGGTTATCCACTCCTCAATAAACTCAATATTAATTTGTTAGGCTTTGGACACCTTAGAACTGTTTTTTGAAGGTTTTGGAAAGGAGCTCTGTAGCCTCAGTGGGATTCAGGAGTTGTCTGATTTTAGAGGTCTCAAGGAGAGAGAAAATGCAGACAGAAATTTTTGTTTTGTCCATGTTATCAAGAACCTCTTGACATAATCTCTTGCAATCATCTTTTCTGAACTGTGCCTTCCATGTTTCCAGTTGTTTTTCACCATTATCTTTCCAACTCAGCTATCTGGAGTTAATTAAAATCTATTTGAAGAAGTTGTAATAAAAAGTGACAAAATATTGAAGAACAGGATACAGATTTCTATTTTCCATTTCCCAAAATTATCAAAAGCTAAAAGTTTACAATGTTTTCACCTCTTCAAAAGCATCATAATGCTATAAAGAAAATGCTTATAATTTTTAAACAATGTTTATTGGCTGAACCGTGTTACATGTGCACACCCTACATATTGCACTTAATGGATTCACTATTATGGTTAGGCTTAGCTAAAAATTAACTATTTTATGCATTTGTTGTTTTTGAGGTAAGTATATGGTTTGAAATCGCTTAGGTAGATAGAACAAACAAAAGAAAAAATTTAAATTAGCAAAGTGCGTTTTAACTCTGTAATCTGTGGTAGATGAGTACATTTCATGATGAATAAGTATGCAATCACTTGGGCTGGAAAAGCATCATGTATTTTGTGTTTATTCATCCTTGCTCTTTGATTTCTAATTGGAACATAAACATCTACCAAGCGGATTTCTTTAATTAATTGATTGATTTTAAAGTAGTTTTGCTGATAAGGAAGACTGCATGGAAAACCCTAGAGCATGGAGTAACAAGCATCCTCAGAGTAGGTAGAGTGATGTACAGGTCTTTCCCTTCCTTGATCTCAGTCTGCTGCAGGACCAGGAATGTCCAAATTCGTCCTTTGGGCCTATCGTTTGGCCTGCTACTACAAAATGAGCTGGACACAGGAATTGCAGCTCCTTGTGATTGCCAGAGAGCTTACCCCAGCAAAACACCATTCGCTTGCCTTCACCTGCTTCAAGCTCTGCTGACTTCATAGCAGCTTGTGGTGAGACTGGCAGTGCAAATTGCCTCGTAGCATTGGAGCCCCGTGCAGGGAAAATGGATCACTGCGTGAAATGATGGCCTCCTTGTCTCGGGAAATATCATCATCATTCATTTAGTCCGTCCTGAAAAAAAGTTTAAAGAAAAGTGAAGTAGCTCATGTTGGGCAATGAAGAATGAAGGACCTGTGCAGATTATAAATGATGGTCTGATTGATCTCAGTATCCAGAGGTGTGGTTTAGCAGGAGAGGTGAATGATAAAACTCGAAGGTTAATGACCTAGCTCAGGCCTGCTTATGTCCTTAACGGCAGGAGCAGTTTCTTTCTGCAAGGCACAGCAGGGAGCATAGTTGTGTTCAATAAATGTTTTCTGCTGATTTTCTGTGTTCTAGCACTATTCTGCTTGTAATGTAATCCCAGCCTCTCCTCTATACTAATAAAAATTCTAAAGCATTTCAATTTTTAGGAAACCTATTAAACCAGTATTTGTATGGCCCTTGACAGAGATCTGTAATTTTCTTTTCATACAGAGCGGATTGGCCCAAAGACCATTTTATTCCACCTTATGTCCCCCGTTTCCGAAATGGATGGGAGCCTCCTTTGCTGAACTTCATTGGAACTCCAAAGGAGCAAGAACTCAATCATTTGGCTGAATCTGTGGCAAATGTTGCAGAGCAACAGCGGAAGCAAGAAATGAAAAGACTGTCAACTGAGGTAGGTTACCTGCAACGGCATTTTGTAAACCAGCTGAAGGCAACACCAACTGCTTCCTTCATAAAGAAAATGTTCTGTGACATTGTTGGAGTAACTGTGCTCCAATGTCTGCTACATCAGTGCAAGCTCATTATGTTTATATTAAAGTTATACGAAACCAAATACCTATTCAGCCATCAAAAATGCAATTAGGAAAAATACAAGGCTTTTGCCTACTGTTCTCCTTGAACTTGGTGCCCTTTCCCACCTCAGCTGGGAGAACAGTCCAAGCCCCTAAGGTTCAGTTTGATTCTAGGCCTGTGCTTTCAAATCCCATTGATTTTGATCATATATACTTCAGGCAGAATTTGAACCAAAGTGTTTCCAAATGTGCATTCATGCACAGGCACACAAACAAAAAGAAAAAAACCACCACTTTTTAGGAAATTTTGGATTTAAACTGCTTCTTCACAAATGTGGAATTTAATATTCCTTTCATTAATTTCTTGACACTTTCACTGTATTGCAAGATAGTATTCAGACTATATCAGAGTAATGCCATGTCAGGTAACTTAAGCCTACTTCTGAAAAACGACTGCCAATTAGAAGAATTATTGTACAGGAATATTTTCCCATCCTTTTCTCCCAAGAAATGTGATGGATTTAGCAAAAGATAGGTTATTCTATTTAGAGAATGGAAACATGCACCACCATCTAAAAACTTCAGAGAAACCAGAGTGTGTTTTCTGACCAACTCTATAGTCAGCGCTTTTGTTTCTCAACAAAGATTCTACCCCTTACTTTTTCAGCAGAGTTAGTCAGAAAATGTACTTTGATCTTTTTTGTGAAATTTTTAAGAATATATGTGGATTTGGTTGCTTCTTAATTAACAAAAAAATCTATTGCCTTTTTAAACATATAAAAGTTTTCATTTCAGAAGCTTTTTGTTGTTGGGAGGACATAAGCTTGAATTAAAAAATTTAATTTCTTTTTCTATGGTACTTTTAGTTTAAATCAAGTGTTAGATAGTCCAAGGTCCCCTGTTAGCAGCTGTGATACAGAAGTGCACTTAAGAATTTTCTAGGTTCAGTCCGTAGTCTTTTCTATCTTCCTCAAGCAATCTACACCAGTACAGTATTTGGAGTACCTCTTAACACAGTGATGCTGGATTTTATCTTAAATTTATAATACATGTAATATATATATTTTTATCTGTTAGTGAAAAAATGCACATATGGAAGAAGATTCAAGGGAAGGATTATTGGCTGTTATGGGATGGTGTTCTTGCAGATCTATTCTCTTATTGGAGGCAACAAAGCTTCCCCAGAAAAAGTTCATCACAACTGTCTATGGAAAGCTTGTCAAAATAAAACTCTTTTTAAGAAAATCTCCAGTAGTCATCAAAAAGAAAAAAAAAGTCTACTTAGCTATAGAGACAAACAAATTGGGTAACAAGTCTGCCAAGCAAAGGAGGATAACATGGTACCTATTTGTGTACTTAAAACACTGTTTGGCTTTATGCCTGACAAGATATACAAGAATAAATGTGTCAAAAACTAAGTTATTGCCAGTGATTCGACCAAAAAAGTATTTAGTAAACTTAATGGGCACAATAATGTGAAATATTGCTGTCAGTTCCTTCCCTAGTCATCTCCCGAAAAAGTCTCATCAAACATTGTCTCAGTGTTTCACTGCTGCTCTACATTTCCATGCAGATTGTTTTGTTTACCTTGTGCTGCTTCTAAATAATTAAAAAAACCCAACCAAACAAAATACAGTATTGAAAAAAGAGGATTAGTTTTTCTCTTCTGATGATTGTAAGGATTTCATTTGTTATTTATATATATAATAAGTTAAAACAAATTTGGAGTTGGAGAATATATTGAGGTATTTTGGTTGCTTCTGTTTCAGGGAGTTGATTTTGTTCTTTTTCATGGTGGTAATGTTGATTGGATTGGTAGTTATTTGTGCCAACTTAGCCTCTTTGTCTTAATCCTCAAAAGACCAAAAAAAAAAAAAATTAAAATATATATTCCAGTTCATTGAAGGTGTTTGTGTGCCTGGCACCTGGGGTATCTGGCCCTAGTTTCATGACTGTCACTAATTCCCACGTGGTCTTGGGCAAGTCATTTAACCTTGGTACCTTGGCTCCCTGCTGCTCAGCACGTCGCTAGGGGCAAAAGCAACTGAGCTGCTTAATAGCTGTGAAATGTTGTAGGTGCTCAGCTGGAAAAAGCTGTGCGAGTGCAAAATGCTATTTGTCTGCAGCAAAAGGACCACTCTGGAGTGGGTGATACCAGAATAATTATTCTTTCATAAGTCTGCTGTAACAGCTTGTTTAATGAAGAGCACTGGAAAAATAAGATGAGAATTTAAGTGTTTGTCGTCTTGCCGCTAATTGGCCTTGTGCCTTGCTGTGACATTACTCTCCTGAGGACCAAAGCTGTATGTCGGGAGCTGTGCCACGCTGGGAGTGGAGAGGGGGTGCATGTGGCTGCCCTCACTGCTGGGCAGGGACTGCTCTGGCATCTGGCAAAGTGCGTTGGATGATCCGACTCATGAGAAACTTTTTTTTTTTTCCTTTCCTTTCCTGAATCTTAAGATCTAACCACACACACAGCTCCCACCAGAGGGGTTTCAAGGTGGAGTCAGTTCAGCAATAAGGACTTCAAATGGCAGTGAAACAATGGGGAACTGGTGATAGAGAGTCCAGTGAGGCTAAGGCGATGCAAGTAATTTGTGTGTGAAGTAAAATGAGTTCTTCTTCCTGGATGTCTTTTGATGTAAGGTATAAGCTAGGTGACACTTGAGATTTTTTCAAAGAGGTCTTAATAATATAGTCTTAAAGAATATGCTATGTGTATGGGGAGTCTTGTGTGGTTTTAACTTCTTTTCATAAACCCTCAGCCCCATAGGCAAGTGTCTCTGGGTGCCACGTCAGATACTTGGATGTAGAAATTAGGTGGGTGGCTTTTCTGTAGCCACAGAGACAGAAAAAAATAAAGGCGAAAAAAACCAAACATCAAAACCCCCAAGAAAGTAGGCTTAGAAATTTGGCAATTTTTGATTAATCTCAGCTATGCTAACTTGTGCAACTGAATGGTGGTATATGGAAAAGATCCAGAATGAGCAATTTCAATATCGTAATTTTCAGAAATGAACTGCTTTGCTCATTTCTGTTTTAAAGGTAATCATAGTTAAAATAATTCTTACTTAGAAGCAGAGTATCGTTGCTGGATTTGAGGAGGGTTTTTTTTAAAGAGCTGCTGTTTAAAGAGAATTTCCTAAAGCCTTGAATATTCTTATATATGTGCTTGAGATAAATTGTGATTATTTTCCTTAATTAAAATCCTTAACTATACCAACTATTGCATTCCTTTTTGCATTTCTTCTTTGACTATAGTCATGCTCAGTGAGAGGGTGACATAAATGAACCACTTCATATTATGATCCTGCAGGAGAGCGATAATTTTGCTTGGGAGGTTTTATTTCTTATACAGAGTCACTGTTAGCTAGCTAGAGGTTTCTGACTTTAAGTGTACATTTAGAGCAAAAGCTCAAATCGGCTTCTCGGTGCAGTTTATTTTAAAGCCATTCAGCCACTGTTTGTAAGTTGTGTTGCTGTAGTGGTATCTGAGAGACGACATGGACCTTGCCCCAGAGAACTGTTTTTCTAAAGAATATCCACTGCAATATTAATGCAGTTGGATGACTTAGGATAGAAATTCTTTTATTCTTATCCTTTTGATCTCCCTGTTTACATATTTGAAATACAGAAGTTATTAACTTTTCATAGCAGAACCATGAGCACCTGAGGACGTGTGAATGCTGACAGGGACCCTGGGGGTGCTGGATTAAGTGAACTAGGCAGTGCTGCTGATGACACTAATCCACTTTGTGGCTTTGTTTCTTTTTTGTCTTCCAGCCTCCCAGTGTTCCCGACTACCCTCCGTCCGATGGGTATGCATTCAGTAACACAGCTTACAAAAGAGGGCCTCTGCTGGACCAAGGGGCGGCTGTTGCTGCCTTTAAGCAAACTGTTAGCCGACATGTAGATAGGTAACACTGAATCAGCGGCGTACGTGGTGCTGTGGATAACTGTCCCGACATTGCTATTGGGGTGGTGGTGTCTGTAATTGCCTCTGGTTGTGTCTGGAGCAGATCATTATTTCTATGAGGAAGTGATTCTGGTTAGCAGTGGGTATTCTGCTTTTGCTTCTATAAGGCATGTCATTAAGACTCTTTTTAGTATAATTTCTATGAAACTACCCTGTTTATGTATGCTGTTAAATCAATGCTTTTGTCAAAAATGATATAGTGGAATTCCAATCCAATTGAGAACACAGAATCCTCCTATTTGGGTTCAAATTTTATTTCTGCTTTGTTTCATGTCTTTAAATACACTCTTTGCTTTTTTCAGAGCTACAAAAAAAAAGACAAGTCTGCTCTGAGATTCACCTATCCTTGTTTCAAAAGACTGTTTGATTTGCTTAGCTGCTTGCTTAGTGCTCCATAGTCTCTTGCTTTTTTTTTTCTGGGCTGGTGTATAAATATCCACTTTCAGAACAGTAACTCCTTATTTCTTCCATTCTCTTTCAAATGTTACAGAAAATGCTTTGAAATGTTTATATAGCAACCAGTGTCTTTTTGCACATCCTCTTTCATTCCCTTCATTTTAGCCTAAATCCAAATAGCTTGACAAGATCAAATGCAGTGATCCTTGGAGTCTCAGCCTTGTCTGTGAGGAGAATTTATACCAGCACAAACTGTGGAAGTAAATTGGTAAAGCAGTGTTGGAATTTCTCCCCCATGTCAAACCATATTCTGTATACACCCTATGGACAGTATTTTGGCTTATGTGCCATGGAAGATGTTGAAGCTAAGTTTTTGGGATCAGATTGCTGGTTAAAACAGCTTTGAATATAACTCTCTTGATTAAAACCTTTGCATAATCCCTAGTTTTGAGCTATGTGCTAAAAGATCCTGTTGTTAATCTGCATGCAAACAAATTCCCGTGTGGTATGCAGGTTTAAGACTCGATTCTTTTCCTGAACTTTGGATTTATTCTTCATAACGACAGAAGTAGTAGTCATCTCTTAATCATTTTGTCAAACTTGGTTACTTTTTGAGTTCTTGTCTCAGGACCAGTCAGCTTGAAATCTAGATGATCTGTACTCTAAATTCCTTTCTGTCTTATCTGTAATGTGATAAGACCTGTTTTGTCCTTTTGGAGTAAGAGTATTCCATGTAAATGTTGTTGCCTCCTTTTCAGGTTTAGAGAATGAGTCTTATTACATTGAACTATTGATGATATCGGTGCACCTGGCTGCAACTGAAAGAGTCATCCAAGCCTCTTTCGTGGCGGGGGAAGAGAAATGGGTGTTTCTAAGAAGCAGTTCATGTAAGGTGAAATTAGTCTTTTGAAAGATATGAAATCAGACATGCTGTAGTGGTGCCCATTTCTTACCAGTGATTGTAGACTGAGGGAGTCTAGATGGCTGGTACTGATGCAAACATCCACAGTGTGCCCCTATCTTCCAGTCTGCTCAACACAACACAAACTTCCATTTGTTAATTGGCTCTTGAGACATATAATACGTGCCTGGTAGGAGCTCATTATTGAGGGAGAGCTGTTAATAGGTATTACCCCCAGTAACTTCCATTTAAAGATAAATTTTAAAGCATCTGTGAAGAAGGAGGTGGCAGAGTGGATTTGGGGGAGGGAGTGAGAAATTCAGCTGAACCTTTCAGCCGTTGTTTGCTGGTCCTTGTTCAAAGGTAGCATTCCTAATGAGTGGTCTGAAGGCAGTGACCAAACCACTCACTACCTTCTGAGGGACAGGTAGGCTGCACCTTGTCCAGGGAAATTTTAATCACAGAGAATTTCAGTGAGCCTTACTCCAACATGTCAGAACCTCCAGTAAGGTGTGCTTTCCTTGAGTGATGTAAAATGTCAGGATCTTAAACTTTCAGTGTGATATTAGGTATATCGGGGATGCTCTCTAATGCTAAAAGAGTACTGAATAGTTTTTCAGCAAGTTGTGTGGTGTTTCAAAGTAGTATGCTGTGTAGTTTGGTTTTGTGCTGTCATTTGAAGAAAAGCACCCTGAAAGTCTCTGCAATCCACTAGGCTCTTGAGCAGCATGCACTGGAGAGGAGAGGGCTGCAGTTACGGTGTATCTGATAGGCAGTAAGGAAACACAGTGGAGGATGGATGGAGGGAAGTGTTCAGAATATTTGTGCCTTGAGTAAACTGTTTGGCTTATTCAGCTAGGCTTGAAGAGTTATGGACTCTTCACAAGCATACAGCCATTGCCCGGCCCATGTTCTGGGGATGTTGCTGTGGAGTAAAACTGAAACATAAGCATTTTTTAAAATTCTTCTTGAGTTATGTTTTTTGAAGGGATCAGGATAGTTAGGTGTGGACAAGGTAGGAAGACGCAGTTAGTGAAATGAGTTTGGAAAGGTAGCCTAGAAGTAAAAGTACCTTCAGAGGTACATTAGTCATATCCCTGAGATAGTAAGAAAGAAGTTCAAAATTATATGAATTTTGAGTGGGTGGCAGAAAAAATTGGGATTACTCACACATCTTTCACCCTCATAACAGCTGTTCTGCAGGCTGGGGTTCATCCCATGTTTTCCACTCTCTCCTTAAACACTTTTAGTGTTTTATCTTTCTTGCAAAATAATCTTTCAATCTAAATATGACTCTTCCTTTGTTCTGCTCTTCAAGTGAGACAGTTCTCCACAGCCATGCAATAGCTAGGTTACTACTGGATTGCTCAGGGACCCACGGTTATACAGCACCAGCATCAGCAACTATCTGCATTCATATCCCTGTGCTGTGATGTTGTATGAAGCATTTCAAGCCATTGATTACTTCATGTTTTCATTATCTGTTTGGATTTTTTTTTTTAAACTTTTCTACCTGGTATGGATTTAAGTTGTTCATTGTAATTTGCAATAAGTGAATAATATTACTGTTTCTTTTGGACCTGTTTTGAGGGGGCTGGGGGGCTTCTTAGCTTGAAGAGGTACTACATCGAAAAAACTAGTAGCTTCTTACCCAAAGGCATTCTGAACAGGTCTTTCCTCATTGAAACAAAGACAGAGTTAAACTGTGGTATGCCTTGTTCTACAATGGACCCTGTTTGTAACTGCCAAGAAGTTATTTTTCATTTTTAATTGATATAGTAACTTAAGGTTGGTAGAGTTGATGGTATCTTATGGTCAATTAAGTAAACTGATCTACAGTATATAAACATTTTCTAGAGTTTAATTCCATTGGAGTTCATGGAAAAAATTATTCATCTATTATGCATTTGAAACAATTTATGATGAACGCTAGAAATATAGTTTCATACAAAGCACAAGATATCAATTATATACTAAGTGCATAGTCATTCATTTCTATGCAAATGGTTGTTCAACCTACTGTAGGAAAACAGCCTAAATATAGTGTACATATTTATTTTAAAACAATGGCACCTGCTAATCTAAGTTGTTATGATACATCATGCAAGCAGTGAGCCAATAAAGATTACCTGTTCTTGAGGTCCCTGTAGCTCAACTGCCTCTTTCTTTTGTTTCTTTTTTTTTGGCACTTAAATCAGTGCATTGTGAACAGGTAGTTCTACACCAGCCTCATGTTAAGGTGAGGTGGGGTTTTTTGTTTAAATGTTTTCCAGGTTATTGAAAGAGGGCATTTTGTCTATGTTTTTATTTGCTTGAATGTCTCACTGAACAATAGTCTGATCTTTGCTTTTGCAGAAACTATGAAGCACACAGTAAAGCACAGACCAAGAAATATGCCAAATGCAAGTACGAATTTATGGCAAGAAACAACAGTGAGCTTTCTGTCATGAAAGAAGAGATCGTAGAGGTAATTTTTCTTGCAAAGAGAAGACATGAATTTCTGGTACTACTCAAAGCTGAGGGTACCTTTCCTGTGGATGGTGTGGCTGTCCTTAATGATTACTTCAATGTGTTTTATTTATTTCCCTTAATATGGAAAGTTCAATTTTATTTTTTTTTTTGCATTGTAGACAAGACAAATGGAGATTCTGCACTGACTTATGAGATCCATGCTGGAAATAGATTTGTGTGTTTCTTCCATCTTCTCTGGTGTTGCTTTTAAAAGCCTCATTTAGTAGTATTTACATAACTGGCTCTGGCAAACACAATCTGTGTATGCACAGGGCATAGTGAAAGACTGCCCTTTCCTGGAAGAGGTGGTACCCTGAAAGCTAGACACATTTGGAAGGGAGGGAGCAACAAAGAGAGAAAACGTTGCGTATGAGATCGCACGGCAGGTAGTCAGATTTCAGACTTCCCCTGGCCACCCTACTCCACTTCCCTCACAAGTGCGCACTCTTCAAATTTGTGCTCTCCTAGAACGATGCACTTTTCCTTGGGTTATTAGTAGTTAGTTACTCCTTTTGTCAACAGCATATAGGTTGCACAGATGCCAGCCACTCTGCACAAGTATTTGATTTTCATTACACTGTCTTGTCCAGCACATGTCTGAGTTTACAGAGGTTCATTACACACTTTTTTTCCATATGAAAGCCACATTTTGAAAAGTGCAGTATGACCACATAGAATTAACGATGGTGATAATCAAGGAAGCCTACAGGGGCTTCTTAGGGACATCTGATTAAGATCTGTTGGCTATTGCAGAACCTGACAAAGTTATGGTTTCATTTTGAAACGATGCACAGTCCAAGTACTGGCAGAAAAAGTCAGAAAAAAGTATGTAATTAATTTACCAAATTGTTTCAGATTCTGGATGACAGAAAGCAGTGGTGGAAAGTTCAGAATAAAAGTGGCAGCACAGGCTTTGTGCCAAACAACATTTTGGACCCTCTGAGGAATCAAGAAGGTGGTCTAGGGTGGTCAGAGCCTGCATATACCCGCACCATCCAGGTACTGTCTGCTCCTTGGGAGCAAAACTTTCTTTTGAAGTGTCCATGTGTATGTGTGGAGGAGGAAGAGATTCACAGCAAGGCTAAAATATCTTCATGTTCCACTGATATGTGAAAAGATTTATTTTCCTGTACAGGCTGAAGCTGATTTCTGTATTGCATAGAGTCCAACATGACAATAAAGTTGATAGAGATACAGCAAAACATTTTCCTTTAAGGTGTGGGGTTTTTTTAGTGCTTATTTGCTTAGAGGTGGTAATTTTGATCCTAATGGATGTGTATGCATTTATTTCAATTGCAAATATCCTTTGTGGATTGATAGCTGTTGATGCCAAAGAAGGAGTTTGAATTATTCAAGGTAGGATCATCTTTGTTTCTCCTAGGAGAGTGAACACTAGCTTTTCTTCTTATTTTCTATTTTTGTGTGTCTCTATCTTCGTCTTGAATTTATTTAATTATTGTAATTTTGGAGTCATAAAAATAGGTACGTTGGCTTTTGAATTCACTCTATTCTCCTGACCTAATTTTGGTTTTCTTTCTTTCATGTTGTGGTGTGGAATTAAGATTTTTTTGTTGTTGTCGTTTCTTTTATATGTTGAACAGAATTAGAGGGTAAAATATATATATATTAAAAAAAAAAATTATCTTACATCAATACAATTGTCCACCTGAGTAAGGTTATACAGGATAAAGTTGTAATGTGTACTTTTAGACAACATGAACCTGGAGATTCATAAAATAAGAGGTTGTATTTTCTAAGACCCATTTCTTCCTTTTTATTTCTAATGATTTTGAAAGATTAGGCAAACACGTTTGGATTAAGCAGAAATTCCAGGCCTACCTCTGAACCAGACTTTTTCAGTCCAAATGCAAACCAGGCTTCTGGTGAAACTTGAACTTAAATTGAATTTAACCTAATATTCATTCCTTGTGCCTACACACTCCAGCTGATGACTGAAAATCAAGACATGCCATAATGTTACTGTTGACTGTCTCTGCCACGGACTCATCTAAAAGTCCCAGTTGGAGGTGCCACTCTGCCGGATTCTGTGTGCACAGCTATCGTGAAAACTGCAGCTTTTGCAGTATTTCCAGTTTTGCCATGGATATGGAAAATCTTTTGAGAAACAGGTCCTATGCTATTCCTGGCATGGTAATATGGTAGACCCATCTTGAGCTTGGTGGGCTTGAATCAGACCATTTCTGAGTTTTTGCTATCCCTAATTGTTTGCCTATAATGTATGAGCTCATTCTAAATTGATTATGATTTTTGCCTGTCTGTGAAATGAAGCATGCGTCTAGAGTGCTTTTCAAATCCTGATGTAAAGATCTGACTTTTTTTTTCCTTTGGGTGCATGTCATTTTTTGTGTTTGGAATTTGAGAATCCTGAGCAGACTGAGTACAGTTTTGAGTAGAGGTTCTTACACTACTCTTTGTAATACACTGCAGGTTTTGAAGTTTTCTGTTTGAAATAACGACATGACATGGGAAATAGTAAATTAATCATTTTCACAAAGCATTCTCCATGGACCTATGAAAACTAGTATCAGAGAACAAGATTTAAGATAATTTTGTTTCTTTGCCCTCTGGCAGGTTGTTTCCTACAGCTTTATCATATTCAAATGTGAGCTTGAAATACTGTGAAATTATTTAGGAATATAATGAATTAGGATAAATTGAGTCTTTACCAAGACATGTCAGTAATGTTGCTCTTAACTTTATGTGATTATTATAATTTTAGCACTCCTGAGTGTGCGCATTTGTCTCTTTCCC